CAAAAACCATGGGTTCTTGACTAACCACTCACCCAGCGATGGGAAGATCTTCCCATCGATGGGTAAGCGGCTCCTCAGCCAAACCAGTTTCCAGAACCATGCCAAACAGCGATGGGGAGTTCCACCCATCGCTGTTAGAGCCTTGGTGCAAAATTACCACAAGGCAGAACGACCTTGCCCAGCGATGGGAAGTCTATCCCATCGATGGGAACCCAGCGATGGTAAGGGTATACCATCGATGGGAAGGCATGACCGTTGGTGGTCATTAAAGGTTGATTCTTTCCTTGTTTAGAAGTCAACCTCCCACCCAGCGATGGGAAGCTTGTACCCATCGATGGGTAGGTGACCGTTGACTTCAAAACTGAAGGAAAATTGGCTTACCAGCGATGAGTAAGTCCCAAACATCGATGGGAAGCCAATATTCTGTAGATCCCAAATTTTTTCAATCCCATAAATCAAGCCAATCACCCCTTTAATGCATTGGTCCGTTGGAGCCTATTTTGGCACTATAAAAAGGGGTGTTTGGGTCTGCTTTTCTCACCAATTCACTTCACAACATCTATACTTTCATTGCATTCAAATATCATAATTTTCCATAGCTTTCTAGAGCCACTTGTGTGAAGGTTGAGTTGTTCTTGAGTGTACTTAGTTTACTCATAATCTACTCTATAAGAGAGTCTCGTTCTTGAGTGTACTTGTGTTCTTAGACACGTTGAGAGATAGTATCACTCTCAATTCAAAGGAAGGTCTGTTTCCTTTGAAGGATTCGTTGAGGTTCGTGTGACTCGAACTCTCAAGTTGTAACGGTTTGTTAAGCACCCGTAAGCTTAACGAGTTAGTAGTGTAGCTCGAGAGAGTCTCTTGGGAGGCTGGCTTAGCCACAAGTTGTGGTGAACCAGGGTAAAATTTGGTGTGCCTCTTACTCTTCTCTTTTCTTCTCTTTTAAATTTTTAATTCCTGCGACTTCTCCGATCAAACGCTATTCACCCCCCCTCTAGCGTTGGTCTTTTATTCTAACACTTCATAGTCGTCTCACTTCTATGCGACTTTGCGAGATAGATCAGCTTCGTCAATCGCGATATGATAAGTACGTATATTGAACTTTTGCTTAATGTCTAGACGAATGCAGGTATATGCTCTTCTCTATCCCATGACAAGTCGTTGTATACGACTCTAACAAGTTTCAATTTTTTGCCTGACGAGAACACTGATGTTGGAAGTGTAGAATGTTTTGTGTCATCCTCACATAAGTCAACTGGTGAACTTCACGATTCCCCTTTGATTAATTCTTCTTGAAGTTGTAGGAGGGATGACGATGGTCACAACATGGACAATGTGCCACCTGAACCTAATTCTCATAACATTGAATGTTCTATCTATCAGTTGTCTACACATGATATTTGCACCAACGTTGATTTGGAAGTAGTAATTCATTTTGATCCAATTAAAATTGAGTTGGATGCAATTTATGGGACAAGAAGGACTTAATCTACCATCCCAAATTGTTTGCAATCTCTAACTTGTTCCAATTCTAGACTAAAAAGTCTACAAAGAAGCTTCTCAATGTAGTTTGTGTAAAAAATGAGTGTTGTGCTTGGGCTGTTAGCGTAGTTTGCTTATCACGCGTTGATATGTTCCAAATCCGTAGGCATGCTTCATTTTTAAAATAGTGTATAGCTTCATAATCCGTACATAATGCTTACAATACATTCCTTTTTTGTTTAAATATGAATGCATGTACTCCCCAGAATATGCACTTTTTGATTACATGTCTTATCTTGTGTTCTTGGCGAAGTACACTGCAATATACTATCCATATTATGTGTGTGCTCTACTATACTGTCCACGCCAGGCTATCACACACTGTACATGGTTTCCATGTACTCAAAATAAGTTTATATAATGTCAATTGGTGGAAGATTGACAAATTTACCTGTCATTTGCTCTAAAAAGTTGATGATTTGGGTGTAAAAACACTCCCGTGGTTTGCTCAAGTTTCTTTTTGACTAAGGCAATTTTTTATCGTCTATTTAAGAAATTCTTCCATATCCATCATACTTTCCTGCTCCAGGTGTTTACCCCCTACCTTTCCATATTTACCCCTACCTTTCCATAATTAGTGTTATCTGATTCCACTTCCAATCTTTATCAAATACTATTCATTAATTAAACCACCCATGTTCTAAAAATGTCATTAATAATTTATTTAGATATACGCTCAAAACTTCAAACGTGAAACCCTACCTTACAGAACTTTCATAACCCCATATTTTTCAGATGTTTGTTAAACATACTCCACAGATCTCATGTTCACAGCTCACATATGTATTTTCTTTTATATTTGCATAAATTTATGTAAACCACCATATACAATTCATGTAAACTGACTATCTGTCCACACCAGTTTATCAAACACACTATCTATATTTTATATATGCTCCGAATATACTGTCCATGATGTACACACTGTCCTCGATTACCGTGTCTACATTCCTTAAAATGTGAATGCAATGTCTACTCACACTGATTTTTAAAAACAATTCTCTTGCTTCTCATGTCTTTGTTTTAAATTGGATACAATCAGATCTATGATCAGAGAACTCATCTTAACATTGTGGTCCTGACTTTTTCTCAAGTATGACAAAGAACATCAATGTCATATCGATGTTCATCAAGGTACAATGCGTCAAGCTACATATGATATCATTGAAGATTATGTCAAATATTAGTACAATGATGCTACCAACAAATCCTACCCGCCTTAGGCCATTATTCGTGACATGTGTAGGGACCACGACATTTCCATGTCATGCGAAAAAGAAGGGTTTGCTAAGTAGAGAGCAACTCAACTTGAATTTGGTAGTGATACAGAGTTGAACGCAACGCTCCTTCTCTTGAAAATAAAAAGTATGTAGTCACTTTCATTTATGATGCATCGAGATTTTTCTTTGTATATATGCTACATGCAAAAGAACAAGCTCTTGATAAATTTAAGATTTACAAGCAAGAGGTAGAGCTACATCAAAATAGCTTGATTGAGATTCTTGAAACAGATCGAGGAGGTTAATATTATGAACCAATGCATTTCTAATCTACTGGTATAATACATCAAACCACTGCCCCATACACACCAAAACAAAATGGTGTTCTAGAAAGAAAGAATAGAATCTTGAAAGAAATGGTAAATTTCACGCTGCCCTATTCGGGCTTAAGCGAAAGCTTTGGGGTGAGGTGATGTTAACATCACCTTATTTATTGAATAGATTTCTTAATAAAAAGCTGAAAACAATCTCATATGAACTCTGGTACAAAAAACCACCAAACTTGAGTTATCGTAAAGTTTGGGGGTGTAGGGCTCTATTTTACAAAACAAAGTTGCATAAGTCTCCTGTCTCGACTTCAAAATGTCATTGTCTTTCCTTGCGTGTTTTGTTCCTTCAAAGAACTCTTGTCATTGCCTTTGAATCCTCTAAATTTGTTCTGTGTTCAAATATCAAAACCTACGTAGAATAAATGTTAGCATTGGAAAAACATCAATGTAAAAGTATATTCCAACAAACCTAATTATAAAAAATAGCCGATGACACTAAAATCATCAACAAATCAAGCCCCCAAGCGGGTTGAGGAAGCCGACCGATGAGACTATAAACGCAGGCCTTGGCTCTAGCATATCTCTCATGTAGTAAAAAAAAGTTATACCCCACCACCCACCATCTCCCCAGTACGGTTATGAACACTAGGTAAGAGGAGTTAAATTGAACTCTAAAATGTGAAATCTATTTTGATACTTGGAAAACATCATGGATAGTAAAATTTGAATTCCGGTTAACCTTTGTAACATTGCATCACAATTCATTTTGACCCATTGAAGGCATATTGGGATCTCATAGTCATAGCCAATTAGCCATAGGTGGAAGTGGAACAACTTTACCAACTACCAAAGTCTAAAGACTACTCAAAATGGTACCATCCCAAATGCTACAAGGCATAAGTTATTAGATTATGCCTCTTTAGTTTCTCCATCAATGACTTTTCAACCTTATAAATACCCAATGGTAAGACGCCACCTTCCTCACTCTTCCTCGCAATCCTCATCATCTCTCCCCCACCATCTCTCCCTTAAATTCCCTTTGAAGTTTTGTTTAATTAATGCATTAGGATTTTGCGGAGATGGGCACGAAAGTGAAGAAAGGTTGGCTCGCGGTTCAGGTGGGGCCAGACGACGGAGAAGGAGAAGGCGGCAACCGGAGATTCGTTATCCCGATCTCATACCTCTACCATCCTCTCTTCCAGAATCTCCTGGACAAGGCCCGGGAAGTCTACGGCTACCACGCCGACGGCCCCATACGCCTCCCCTGTTCCGTCGATGATTTCCTCCATATTCGCTGGCGGATCGAGAAGGAGGACGCGAATTCCGCCGCCGCCGCCGCCGGACACCTCCGCCACCACCACCACCATCTGCCTACTACTTTGTCATTTCGCTCTTGTTGATCGATTCTGAATTGAAATTGTACTCCCTCCCCCCCAAAATAATCCAAACAGCAATTCCGTTTCTCATGCGAATTTTTGTGTTGGAATTTTTAGGAGCTTTATTGAATTTTAGATTGGATTGGAGTTGTCAAACCGAGCTTGAATTGTATGAAGCACGTTAGGGTGTCGTTGCAAACACGCTAGCATAATTTGAGTCCTTCGATTAAACGAAATTCATCCGTGTTATTTTTTAGAATAGACAAATTTTTCCTATTTATAGCTGAGCTTAATTACAAAATTATACTCTCTCCGTATCCAAAAGATTGTGACCGTTTGATTTTTTTTAATTAAATATCATCATTTGACTATGATTTAGTATATTTAGTTATTTTTATAAATTTAGTAAAATTAGATTAATTTTAAAATATCAATTTTTCGTAATACTTAATTATTTTAAAAAAGATTTAATTTTTACTCAAAAGGTCCCACAGTTTGAATAAAAAAGTTAAACTGTAGTAATTTTTTAAGAACGAAAAGAGTACCTTTTCAGATTTTTTTTTCTTCAAAAGTTGAATGAGACAATTGAAATTCTAAGAATTCCAAATTTGAAATTCTAATTTTTTTTCTTCAAAAGAGTACAATTGAAATTCTAAGAATTCCAAATTTTGGAATACTTTCGGAAAAAATTGCTAAAGAGGAATTTGATTCCGCTTTTGATTTGGTTTGGTTTATTTATGTTGCTTCAGTTAACGGTTATACTCATACAGGTACAGAAGACGCTTAGCTGTGAAGTTACCTTTAGGCTTTTATTCTAGCCCGTTTAGTACGGTACCTCCGGATTTCAAGATTGAGTCGGCCCATCATAGCATTTCATTTATGGGATGGGATCCTGTCCCCAATTCCATGGGAAAATGCTTGGTTCACAAAAACAATGGTCACAAATTTCACAAACTTACTATTTGTGAACTTCAATAAAAAAATTAAATAGTCTAAAATAATTTTAAAATGAAAATTTAAAACATAAATAGTAAGTTTGTGAAGTTTGTGACCTTCTTGT